GAAACGTCTTTTCAAACAACGGACTGAGGAAAACAGGCGATTACTTCACGCACGACATGGAGGAGCACTACACCAGCCGGTTGAACACAGTTTTCCATGAATATGTATTGCGCATTGAGTCGGAGGCAAAGCGGGATCCATCGTCTTTTTGGACCTACGTGAAGAAACTTAGGCGGAATGGCGGTATACCACTCGATGTGTCCTATAAAGAAGCTCGTGCTGACTCCGCGGAAGAAGCTTCTGATCTCTTCGCAAAATTCTTCAAGGATGTTTTTTCGACTACCCCTCCCGCTCATTCTCCGGATGATCGTCGTGACTGGATGAGCAGCATAGCTCATTACAACTTGCATTTGCCGCAGTTGGATGTATCTGTTGAAGAGGTGATGAAAGTTTTTTCATCTGTAGATCCTTCTAAAGGCCCTGGTCCAGACTGTTTGCCGCCATCGTTCATTAAGAAATTTTCTGCATCGCTCGCTTCACCTGTGTCGATTATCTTCAATCGTTCGCTAGTTAGTGGTGTTTTCCCCACAATGTGGAAGGTTGCGTCCATCACACCTTTCACAAAGCTGGAAACATCCACAGCGTTGAAAATTATCGCGGAATTTCGATTCTAAGCTGCCTCCCAAATGCTCGGGAGAAGATCGTATATGAGGTCGTATATCAGGCGGTTAGGCCAATAATTACCGAACATCAGCACGGCTTCGTGAGGAAACGCTCTACAACAACCAACTTAATGGTGTTTGTCAACTCGCTGATCAACTCCATTGAAAAACGACGACAAGTTGATGCGATCTACGTGGACTTCAGTAAGGCGTTCGATAGGGTTCCACGTGTGCTTGCAGTGGACAAAATGAGGTGTATGGGATTACCTAATTGGGCCACGAAGTGGCTACAGTCTTACTCAACTGACCGCTCAGCCTATGTGAGCATTAACGGTGTTAATTCGCCTAGTTTCGGCCTTTAATTTTCATCCTGTTCGTGAACGATCTGTGTAGTCGACTGTGTTCTTCGAAACTTATGTTCGCCGATGACTTAAAGATCTTTCGTACAATTAAGTCAAGACTTGACTGTTGTGCACTCCAGAAGGATCGTGATTCCCTTTTGCGCTGGTGTATATTGAACGGTATGCATGGTAATGTCACAAAATGCTGTGCAATATCTTTTAGCCGCTCACTCGAGCCCTTACGACATGACTATAGGATAGGACTCAGTAGTTTGCTCTTCGTTTCTTCAGTTAAGGATTTGGGTGTTATCATCGACTCTATAGTCAGATTCAATGAGCACATCTCCATGATAACTGCTAAAGCATTCGCCACATTAGGTTTCTTGAAACGAAACACAAACGCATTCCAGGACATCTACGCGCTGAAATCACTATACTGTGCTCTCGTCCGCAGTCTTCTAGAGTATGCTGTTGTTGTGTGGGCACCCTTTCACGCTATTCAAGCTAACAGAATCGAAGCCATTCAGCGAAACTTCGTAAGCTACGCTTTACGTGTTCTGCCCTGGAACGATTCGGTAAATTTGCCGTCTTATGAAAAACGGTGCTGGCTGATTGACCTGGACACGTTGGCAGCAAGGAGGAAACTACTTCAGCGACTCTTCGTGTTTGGATTGCAACTCTCTTGTGAGCCAAATCTACATCAATGCTCCTCGAAGAGTTCTACGTAGTTACACGCTTCTGTGGCAACCTACCCATCGGACCAACTATGGATTCAACGAACCGTGGACTTTGTGCTGTCGTGTGTTTAATGAAACGTTTTTTTTTTTTTTTTTTCCTTTGGTTTGTTTTTTCCGTCGATCTTGTTTTCCGTGCTGAGCACCAATGCTACCGACGTGCCAGGAAGGCAGCTCCCACACCTGGACCCTACCTATCGACCCATCAACTCATGAACCGGGGACCAACGGCTTTACTTCCCATCCGAAGGAAGGCGTGATCAGAGATGTTATGCCTCAGAACATCCCGGCGGCGCCGACTGGAATTGAACCCAGGCCTGCTGGGGTGAGAGGTAATCACGCTTACCACTACACCACCGGCGACGTTTAATGAAACGTTTGATGTATATGATTTTAACATTAGTAAGTCTACTTACAGACTTAGAATTCGACACCTAGCCTAGAAAATATCGGTGCAACATTATGTTGAAGATTTAATTAAATAAATAAATAAATAAGACAAGACATTTTAAAGATCTCGAATATAGAAACTTCTGTAAAACATAAAACATAGACAAATTTTCATATCTCTGGAACCTAGACAAGTGTTCTGGATTGCAGGGATGCCATTCTCCCCAGTGTAAGCAGGGTGATGAGTTGAAAAAACACCTCGCACTATGACAAAAGCAAACTCACCCGAGAGATCTTTATTTTGTTTTCACTTTCTACCACTTCTCCCACTTCGCAAACAAATATAGTTTCTGACGTTCGCACCTCCAACAGTCCAACACACCGGAGCGGATGAATGATCATTAGGGAGCACCGTAGAGAGTTCGTTTGCTTCACCGGGGAGAATCACCCCGGTGAAGACTTTGGTTGTTAGTTTGTTGCATACAAAGATTTGTTAAAGGTTACTTTTTATATTAACGTCGATACTGAGGTATGGAGGTCCAGTCTGGGTTGCAGCGCTGGAAACGAAGCAGAACCAAAGGAAACCGAGTAGTACGTTCCGGCTCATGGCCATGCAAGTCGTGAGTGTGTACAGAACCATCTCGTCGGGAGCAGTATGCGTTATCGCCGGTATGATCCCTATCGGCATCACCCTGGTGGAGGACAGCGAGTGCTGCAGGTGGAGAGAAGGAAGAGTACGGAAATCTGTGAGAGCGGATTGGTTGGCTAAGTGGCAATAGGAGTGGAGAACGGCCGAGAACGGTAGAGGAACACGTACACTAATACAGATTCTTTCGATCTGGGTAAACAGAAAACACGGAGACGTCAACTTCCACCTACCGCAGTTCCTGTCTGGCCACGGCTGCTTCAGAAAGCGGCTGAATCGGTTCAAACACGCAGCGTCACCCCTCTGTTCGGAGTGTGGCAACGTGGATCAAACGCCGGAGCATGTGGTCTTCGACTGTCAAAGGTTCGAGGCAGTGCGAAGGGAGACGTCTTTAACGTGGAGAATGTCGTCGAAAGGAAGGCACTTGGAATGCCGTCAGTAGCTGAAGAGACAGTGGAGAGAGGAGCAGCGATCTAGCAACACCAGAACACCCGATGAATATTGACGAAATGCCGCTTCAAGTTGAATACCGTGTCTACTTTGACTGTTTTTCCATTTGCCCTGCAAAGCACAAAATTCACAACCACCGGTACTGTCGTCAAACCGCACTTTTTTCTTCGTGAAAAATAGTTTGCACTTTGTCCCCTCACGTCAAGCTCTGCTGGAATCTGTGGAGAAACAATAACGCATTTGCTCTGCCATCTTTCTCACGGAAGTGAGTGTATAAACAGACAAACAGTGAACTGTCAACTCTCTCACTCCCTCGTGCTGTGTCTGACAATCTCTCCAGTGGTGAAACGAAAAATCTCAGAGGAGATAAGCAGAGATTCACCGCAGAGAATGATATCTCTCGCACCCGGGTGATTCTTCCCCAGAGAATTTTCAACCCTGCTGGATTGTATCAATAATTATCAAGGAAAATTTTCGCGAAAAATATCGATCTTCAAAAAAGTTGTAAGATTCTGCTATACATTTAAGAGATATTGAATATTTTTTTTAATGCTGGTACTTAGTAATTCGTTATCTTTTATTCAAACTAATTAAAAAAGCGTAGAATATTTTACGATACGTTAGAATGTAAGTTCACAGTCCGAGAAACATTTAATGATTCTAAAATAAAGAAAATATGTCATGATTTTAAACATAGGATTTATCTAAAATCTGGGATTGGACATTTGCTGATTCCGGACTTGTAGAAAATACAATTTGATAGGCTTGGAAAAGAACTTCTTGAAAAAAAAAGATTCTACTACATGATTTTTCGATGTTTACCGATACTAAAGCTTCCGGCCTTCAAAGATTTATGAAAATTCAGGTCTTTGAAAAAAATTAATTAAAACAATTAAATATGGTAAAATACCCCAAGTACCATCACAAGTTCATCGCATGATAAAACCCAAATCCTTACTTGAAGCATAGATTATTATTTCGCTTAACTGGTGACCCTAAAGAATACAGTATGTAATAAGTAGTAAGGTCAAACTTTGTTATTATCAATTGGGAATTGGAATTGAGAAGAGAAATGCAAGGAAATTCCAATGATGGTTTTTGAAATAATCTTAAAAGAATCTTTACAGGATTCCAAGAAGATGATTTGAGAATGCTTAGCAAAATTTCAAGGAAAGTATTTTTTATTTACAGTAATTTTCATACTCTCGCATCATTCGTGCTTTATCCGGATGAGATTTGATCTCATGATTTTAAAGTGAGATGTATGGATTTAGATCTTTATGTTTTACAGACTAACCTCGGTATTCAAAGATGTCTTAATCTTGGTATCTGGTTAGCACAAAGTGCAGAAATTAATGTTTAATTTATCTCTATGTCCGGTATGGAACATTTGCATGCGATCCATCACTGCTGATGAGTTTTGTGCTACTCAAAACACGAAATGGTGGCTTTGATGCTCAACTTTCTTAGCCACCTATTTCCTGTACGTCAAACCATATACCATACCATAGTCCACAGTTAGTGGTGCGTTAGCAGTGAAGGAAAATAATTAAATCACAAAAGCATCCCCGCAGGGACGGGAAATGGTATCCCTCAAACAATCCAATGCTGATAAAAAAAAAAAACTACGTTGAGAGGAGACTCGCGTAGATGGATGATGATGTCCGAACCGTGGCATGGAGTGGGGAAATGGGCAACGAACCGACACAGTACAGTGGTGAATTTCCTTGACCCGATTAGATGAACAGTAAATTGATTTATCACAGTATGTAAAAGTTAATGTTGATGAACAGGTCTTATGAGGCTGGGTTATAATAAAAGATCCATTTCCGCGTACCTTGATGGTGAATTCGCTCGTCACCGGTTTGTGATCGCTGATGTTGTAACTAGGATGGCTTTTGTAGGACGTCTGCTCGACGGTTAGTTTCACGTTCCGGTAGTTATTCTCCTTCATGGCGTACAGTATCCGGTCAGTCCAAGCAGGGCGTCGCCTAAAAAATGCATTTTATTTAGTTTGTGCTTCCCTGTTAAGGGGGGAAAAGAAAACTCACTTCATATCATAGTCATTGGAACCGTGTTCGAACTTGAATGTTGGCGGGAATTGTGGTACTCGTTCTTGCAGCTTCTGGAAGGCTCGACCTTCTCGCCGAACTAGCAGCAGTTGGTCCTTCTCAATGAGCTTCTTCAACTCGTCTTTGGCCACCATGGCACGAATCTCCTCGGCAGAGGTCGTCGCCTCACCCGTCAGTCGGAAGTTGAGATCACCGAACCAGAACACGTAGCTGCAACGAGATCACAGAGTTAGAAAGTTTCGTCCTTTAGAGGGTTACTCAAAGTGCTTCGAAGGTACTCATGGTCAAAGATGGCTTCCTTCGTCTTGACGTGAAACTTGTGTTCCTGTACGATCTTCTCGTAGTCGTTGATCCGTTCCTCCAGCATGTGATCGTGAGCCGCCAGGTGAGCGTTGACCAAGCAAATCGAACAGCCGTATACGTTTAACCTTACACTAACAGCACCTTTGTTACCCTGCGAGGAAGAACCGTACTCAGTATTATCAACTTCAAAATACCTCAAAGCAGCCTCACCCAAATCCCCCCTAGCCCGGTGCGGGTGTACTCGGTTTCAACCTGCCGCAGATGGAGCAAGTGTTTCCGTCGGGCGAATACTGACAGTAGGAGACCCTGCATCTGTTCTGTCTTGATGACGACATAGTCGCGCTCTTTGAGCAGTTCTTTGAACTTTTGCGTCCACAGGTCATCCTTGAACAGGTTGTACAGTGTGTTTTGCGGCTGGGAGTTAACTTCCTGGAGGCTGTTCGTAGGAAAAGCGGTTATTTTATTATTATCACAACGACTAGTGGCGAAAAACTTACCCAATGACGAAGAAATCGGGGAGATCGGTTTCCAGCTCGGGCGACGATTCCAACCCAAGCAGCTTGTAGAGGGAGAGGTTTTCTGGGAATTTTGTGCTCACGTTCCATGTTACTATGTATAATCTGAGAAGGAGAGAGAAAGAAGCGGTCTGTTTTAATTTTTAGCAATGACCCAGGTGATTTATAATACGGTGAAACATTTGATTAGATTACAGATGAGATGGTTGGGTTGTAGAAATAATGGTGTTAGAAGAGATTTTCTTGATTATGCTGATGTTCACAGTGCTTCAAAATATGCCCATTCACAAGCTTACGTGTAAATTTGGGCGTGATTTTTAAAAAGAAACCCGTTAATATCTCGTTTGTTTTTCTGAACAAAATTTTGCATAATAACAGGCTTTAAAATTTATTTCAGACATAGGAGAAATGGATGTAATGTCGGCCTAAATGCTCCTTATTTGAGCCCATATATAAATTCAGCAATCGACTAAATTTTCAATAGCGACCAAAAATATCCATTAGTACCGTCCCAATGACGCGTACATCTACATAAAATTGATAAATAGCAGATTTTTAGCGATGGGCCCAATCTTAGATCCATAGGCCAACATTTGAGCCATTTCCCCTATCTTCATTATAAATTTGAAACAACATAGTTTGATTGAAAATATTATTATTTTGGTATACCCTAATTCAATTAACAAAAAAAATAGTTTCAAAATAAGAAAATTAACAGAAAGAAAAAAAATTCCCGACAGAATTGCTTGAAATTAACAAATCTCCTTTTTGCAGGAGTGAATTTTTCTCTAACTAAAGAAAACAAAAAAGTCAGTTTTTTAATATCAATTAATTTGAGCACAACCCCAATTACAAAAACGACCATTAGAAGGAAATTTCAATTTCATCGAATACACCAAACGGTTGCTTTAAACTGGAGTAGCAATTCTGATTCCGTTTCTAATTGAGATTCTTAAGGCAAGCTTAAGGTAAAACCACACGTAGGTCAGTAAAAGTCAAATTCATACCAAACACTGGGAAGCGTGATAAAATGCATCCAAAAGCATTTAGATCCATTGAAATTTTATCAATTTTGTTAAAGACGATGGAACAAGTATTGAATGAATTTGTTGATGCAACCAACATGCAGACACATTCACTGACTAATTTACAGTTTTCTTATCAATCTGGTATATCAACAGTTACAGCTGATAACTAAAATTGAAAACTCAAAATGGCTCGTGCTATGAAGGAGTGCAACTTCGATAAATGCATTGTAGAGTGACAAGGGCGTAGCCTGGTTTCAAAAAATGGAGGGGTGGGGCAATTTTTGTTTGATGATGGAGAATTGAGCCAGATGCCAACCGGCTGAACACTATTATGCCGAATATAAGAAGGTAAAAGATGTCACTAGGACATCTGCAGAAGTACTTTCAAATTTTCTTGGTAACAGCAAATCCCGAATAGAAATTTCCCGTTTTTTTTTAGAATTTTTCAGGAATTTTGAAAAGTTTCCCGGTGGTGTGATATACAATTAAATTAAGCATACACACTACGAAAAAGACATATAAATTTCAGTGCCCTGAGACCGACACATGCAAGCGGCCCTTTTGACATAAGAATCAGTTGAAAGGGACGAGAAAATCAATTCAATCAAACGCACTTTTCGTCGAGTTGCATATGTTTCAGTTTCAGGACACTTAATGTTGCAGGCCATGTTTGTTTGCGTTCCATGATTTACGTCAAAGCTCAATTACGTCTCGTGTAAAAATAATAATTTCTAAGTGTGTAGCCTCGACTGGGATTGGATCACTAGGTTAAATGAGTCATTACAAAGACAGGAAAATTGGTCGACTACCTTGATCAACAATTACTCACCAAAACGTTTTGAGCTACTCGAATCAAAAACTCTCGATCAATTCTTATAGAAATTAAACGCACTTTCTAAATCTGCAATAATATTTAGGGGCTACTTTCCACTTTTTCCAGTTACAGTACAAAAAATAATAGAGAAAAAAAAACAGGCGAAACCGTTGTAACTTCACATAAAATTTTCTAGCAATTCACCTCTGAAAAGTCTTGAAATTATGTCCGGATTATATTCGAAACTCCCTTAAAACTCTTTTCAGAATTTAATTGAGATTGTACCCTCAAAATTCGATTTCCTTGGTATTCTTCCCAGGAACTCTCAGAATTCCATACCATTGCAATTTCTTTGGAATTATCATCGAAACACTCTAAAAATTCAGAACTTCTGGAATATTCATGGACTAGACATCCTTTTCAAAATGGTTATGAAATTTTCCTCAGAACAACCAACAAATTCAACTCTGAACTCGCCTTAAAATTCACCAGGAACTTTTCGTACAATTGGTATTGCAACTCTTCGTACAATTGTCTTGGAGTTCTAGTCCAAACACTCTTAGAGTTCTTTCCATAACTCCCTAGAGACTTTTCTCAAAAACACTGTGGTCCCTAGTAGCACGCTTGTCACAAATCAAATGTAGGAACCTATATACGACTTATATGCATTTAAACAATATATTTAAAATTAAAACACTTATTTTCACATTTTTCTGTAAATCCATTTAACTCGAAAACAGTAGGCTGTGAAGTCTTAACGTCTTAAGAAGAGTTTTTATTTTATCAAGATAAACAACTTTGCCAAAGTCGTCAAGTCTTCAAAACAGAAGTTCAATGCATTAAAAAAAAATATAAAAAAAAAACATGTTCCACTAAAATGAAGAAATCTCAAAAACATCAAAATATACCTCTCTCAAATTTTGATATTTTGTTTACCGAGTATTGCTTAATGTTTGCTGAAAATGGCAGGTTGCGATTTTTTGCGCTTTTGGAGATATTAAAGTTCAAAACTTGTGTTTTTTCGTTTTTTCAACAATATCTTTGAAATTTGAAGTTTAATCCAGTATGTTTCTTCACAAAAGTTATTTATTTAATGCATTTGCATTAGATAAAAATACAACATTATATGGTTGTAAGCAAAAAACCGAAACAGAAAGAAAAAACCATATTTCGACATTTTTTTTAACTCCATATAACTTGGAACCAGTAGGCCGTGGAAATTTCACGTCTTTGAAAAAGCTGTTCATTTTGTCAAGATAAACAACTTTGCCGAAGACATCAAGTCTCCAAAACGGCAGAGAAAGAAGTATGATTGTGGCGCCATCTTTGCGGAAAAGTTTTGAACTATTTTTTTATGTTAATAGATGGTTCTTATTATGATAAGAAACTTTTCCCAAGGCACCAAGTCGCGAAAATGCTTCGTTTCGGAGTTATTAATTCTGATCCGAGAGGTTGCATTCCTGACCCAGTGTGCAATGTAAGCATTAGACATTTTAAGAAATTACGCTTGGTGTTTTTCTTCACGGTAACCGCAAAATACCCAATAATGACTACTAAGTAAGCATTTTCGAGGGAAACTGGGACAACCCATTAAATGAGTAAAATTTTAATCATTTATGAGTAATTACAACTACAAAAATAAGTAGTAAGTATTCGTTTTTGAGTAACAAATACTCATAAATGGGTAATATGTTTACTCATTTAATGGGTAGTCCCAGTCTCCCTCGAAAATGCTTACTTTGTAGTCATTATTGGGTATTTCGCGGTTACCGTGTTGCCTGCTGTCCTCTGTTGCCATATTGTTATTATGAAAATGCCATTAGCCTTGGAATAAAATCCAAGAACTTTCAATAAAATAATGGCTAAATTAGATATCCAAAATGATTTCCAGTGTGCATTGGTATGAATTTATTTATTGAGATCTATTTTCTGTAAAATTAAGATGATTCCATCAAATTAATTTGATTTCTAAAACAATATTTTTTGCTAACTTAAATTATTTTGGAGGCGCATTTATTTAACGCTCATATTATCCCAATATACACGATAAAATTTCAAGCGCATATGTTTTGGAACTTCTAAAAAATCATATATTTCCTTTAAGATTTTCACTAATGTCGCCATAAAACAAAATTGATTACATGGTTATCTTAACACCAACACTCAAACGTACTTTTACCGCTAAGGATTTCCATATGAAAAAAAAAAGTTTCAGCAGAACAGAACAACAACAAGCTAATTTATGGCGGTTGCTTTGAAGTAAATATAAATTAAATTGGATTTATAACTAATTTTCACAAAAGCGTAATAAGACTACTTGAATACAATATTACACTTAAAAAGGTTATGAGAACCTTTTGTAGAGTATGAGGCTTTCTGACAAAAGGTTTTAAGACATCTTTATTGTGATTCTCAAACATGCTTTATGAACCTAATCAAGAGTGGTTCACTAAGCTGTAAGACGATCTTATGGCGGTTATCAAAAGATTGTGCTGGAGCTATTAATTTTATTGACGGTTTTATAAAATTGATCTCAAAAACCACTAATAGTGTGCAATGAAACAAGAAATGCTACTTGGTTTTTCTTTGCCCGACTTAGAGACTGATCCTCAGAGGACCACTCGAACGGTATGATTAAAAACCCTTCCTCAATGAAATTCAAAACATTAACGGAAACTAATCTTTATCGAAAAAACAACTTTATCCGATCCATTTACCATCAGGGAAACCCGCAATCGCAAAGAAGTCCACAAATTATAGTCAAAATTTTCATTAAACCTAGCGAACCAAGCTAAACCGGATGTGTCTGATGCGAATCCAAGACGAGCCCAAGAACTCAATGGCGAGCGAGTCAGCTAAAAAACTGTGGCAGAAAAATAAGTAACTCAACGAAAAAACTTCAAATTTCAATCTATATTCACATCATTCCTTAACATTCGTTCGGGTGCGGTGGGAACATCATCATCAAAAATAAGGACCACCCTAACCATTTTTTTTAAATATAAAAAACTTCTTCGAAGACATAAACCCTCTAGAATGAATAGCATCTGAGTAAATATTTTTTCCTGCTAAATTGCTGTTTCGGTCCACAGTGAATTATGCATTAAGGTTTCTGTACAATTTACACTCAAAAAATAAATCATATTTTCAATGGAAAATATCCATTAGAACCAGGCTTCCGGAAATCTCACGCGTACACAAATGCGACAGCGAGCTGTGAGACAGAGCGTCGCATGACTCTCAAATCCATGGTGTGCTACATT